ATGCCCGAGGGAACTCATGAATATCTGCAACAAATTTTATGGGAATACATGAAATTGTTAACATGTGGCAGACCACCAACAAATATTTCATGACTTTCCATTCACTAGTTACGCTGACAAACACATCACCACACGGCTCACTGAAGTATGTATGACTGATGCCGCAGTTTAAGAGGTGAAGATGTGAAATGGGTGTCATATGCTCAGTGAGGCATCTGCGTTGAAGTGACACATTATTTTTTTTTAAACTAAAATTTATACAAGTAATCCCATTGAGACTCTAGATGAAGAACAAAAACCTCACAGTATCTCATGAAGAAATATTTCATAAGATAAGATAAGATGACCTTTATTAGTCCCACACGTATACCACTGTCTACTCTGCAAGGAGTAGACAGTGGTACACATGTTTTTTTTTATTATATATATTGTTTTATTGCAATATCCTTCTAGTGTATTGTTGAATTTCTGGGTTCCAATTTGGACAAAATGCAGCACTATAAATGTACCAATAATGAAGCTTATGTATAAGTTCATTGAGGAAGATCAGTAGTCACACATCTCTCTGCTCCACCGTTCTTTAGTGGCTAATCTAAGCTTTACTTCACTTTCACTTTCCCACGCAGTCAAGCTTATTGCTGACATCACTGCTCTAGTCCAATCATCTTTCTGCCCACCTTCTTCAGGCCAATCAACCTCAACTCTGCGTACTCAAAATCTCACCGCTCATCTGTCATTCTCCCTTGTGCAACCCACCTCTCCCCCATCTCCGCCTCTTCCTTTTTACTCAGACTCCGTTCAAGCCTCCATCTTCTTCTCCACCACCAGCGTCTAGATGTCTCCAAGGGGATCCTGCCCTAATCCCTGTCACTGGAATCCCTGTCCCCGCGATTGGGGTCTAATCTCCAAAGAGTTCTGTATATCAATAAATCATGCTCAATTCCTTTTAATGATCTCTCCTTATTGAACACCCTTATTCACACTAAGTGAAATGAGCTGAAGTTAAAAAAAAGGTACTGAAATAAGATAAAACTACATAAATAAATAAAGTATTTGGTCATTTTCCAGTGTCCATTTGAATTATTTCTTACATTTGCTTACATTTGCTTGCATATTCTGCAAATCTCTGACAGTTTTTTGTTTCTATTTCTTTTACTGCATAAAATAGCATGATTTATGCATGTGCATAATTTCTATCCCAACTTGCATAATACTGCAGTGTTCCTTCAAGTGCCACTATGTAGGAGTTTAGAAGACTCATTCAACTGCTGATTAGTTTGGCATGTTATTTTGGAACATATACATATACAACATGTTATTCAGCTGCATGCTTCGTACGCTGTTGGCTTTAACCACAGCTGTGACGTTCAGAGAATTTCACTTACATTACTTTGAGGTCAAACAGTTCTGTGTTACACACTGTTGTCCTGTGAGGGGGTGGAACAAACCACCTCTATTAAGTGAATATAGTAGTTAAAAACAAAAATGTTTACATTAACTTAGTTATTCAACTAGATAAATGTGTATTTTGCAGGCTTCATAAGCTGAAATTCAGAGGGCACAGAGCATTCTCAGTTTGCACGTTCGACAGTCACTTACATTGTCCAGTTTTAAAACTAACCTTTTTATTTATGTGCTATTCTTTTGGGTGTTTTTTTTTTTATTGTTTTTATTCATTATGTGTATAGTTTTATGTACAGCCTAGTAGGAGTGATTTTTTAAGTACTTTACAAATAAAGTTGATATTGATATTATTTGAGTTAGAGACCTTCTGGTTGTGTTTAATTTGATATTTCTAGTAATTCTGTCATGGTCCTGGGTTTTGCCCCAGTGCTTTGTGTTGAATATTTTGGCTTCTTCTGAACCCTTTGTTTGTCTGTATTCATTGTTGTGTCGTCCAGCACATTCCTGCTGTGTAACCCTCAGCTTTACGTTTCCTTGTTCTGCTCTGACCAGGCTCTGTGCTTATTTTTGTCCTCTCTGTAAGTTGCCGGTACTTCAAGTTAAAGTGCTTTCACATCCTGTCTCCTCCTGCACTTTGGAAGTTGGAAGTTAAAACTACTAAAACCAGATGCCGTGACGCATCAGTGGGCAAAAGTGTCCCAGTTAGGTCAAAAATGAAACCTCTCTGAAATGAAACAAAGTTCAAAGTCCAAAACATGGTGGTACGTGACAATACTATGAAAAAAGAAAAAAGAAATGATTATGTTTTCTTTTTTTTCTTTTCTTTTTTTCAAGTGAATTTTTTATGAAAACACTAACAATTTAAGGGGCCATAAAATTGGTTTTCATAGAAAAACACAGATTCGCTGCATAGCTTTGTAAATGGAGTTTAGTCAAAACATATGAACATTTAACATCAAACCAAAGCCAGATTAGAAAAATCCCCAAAGGTATTTTCCACTTCTGCCTTTTTAAATGTCAACAGTTAACCAAATGTTGTAGGTTAAACCTGGGTGTTAATCATTGTCTGGCTCTAGTTTGTCCTGGATAACTGAAATAAATGGATTTACACACAAACAGGTTGTCTTTGTGAGGTTTTCATTTCCCTTTGCAAATGGGGTCAAACAACTATAGGGCACATCTGCACTCATGGCCACATATTATAGTCAGGACATTACATGCAAAAGATAACTTGCGCACTACATTTGAGTATATCTTGTTAAAATATTATATGGAGACAAAACATGATAATACGGATACTTCCATTCAGCAAAGTCAGCTTTACACAGAGAATCTTAAAATCATACAAAGTTAAAACTTTGCATGATTTGCTCCTTTTCTAGCATCACCACAGTTTAGTTTTCATGAGTGAAACACAGTTTTATACACCCACCTGTTTTTCAGACACCAAGCTGAGCTCATGGTCCAGAAGTTAAAACTGCTGAAACCAGATGCAGTAAAGCTTCAGTGGGCAAAAGTGCTCCTCCTGTTTTTCCTCTTAAATGAAACTAAAGTTCAAACCGTGGTTTTCTGTTCTTAGTTGTTAGCGCATCTCTTATGAGTGAGTGGGCGAATGCAGCTTTTTGGTGGTTTTGAAGTTAAAAGGACCAAATCCAGAATGAAAAGCATGAGTAACATGTACCTGCAGGCATCATTTTTGAGAAAAACAGTACATTTTAAGGACTCAAGTATGTCAGAAATGTTAAACAGGGTTTTCTGTCCAAAGCTCAATATTGTTACAGGATTTTTTAAATTCCGATCTTTAAATTTTGCCCATTTACCTCTTATTTGTCAAACTTTGTAATGCAGAATTTAATCGGAGGGAAAGACATAATCTGTATCAGTTTATCCATAGCCTCCCTGCTATTGTTCATTTTGCAGCTTATCAGCCTGTGGTTTCCAAACTGTTGCAATGAAGCGTGAGAGAGAAAAGGGTTACTTCCTGTTGTCAGAGCCTGGCACTTTCTATGTTTAATGAAAGCAGTAAATGAACCATATTCAGGACAAATCAACAGCTCAGTATTTGCTGTGTACTGACACTGAACTGCTCAAATCACATGTCTGAATGATTAGTGTGAGTGATAGACTGTGGCTCATATTCAAATGGTAAGTTTAAGTCGTTGTAGTTCTTACTTCTTATCCAGATGTTTCTGATTTCTAATGTAAATAATGGTAATTATAAAGGACACACACATATACACACTGCCTGGAGTATTTAGAGCCTGATAATAACAGTGCAGCACAGGACTCTGCTCCCTCTATTATTACTGCTGCTGCCCAGCAATGATGACAGAGAGGTGGTATAATAAAATACATTTCAAATGCTGTACTTCAGTTTTTTCTAACAATTTAAAAATATCTATATAAGCTTTACTTTCATATACTTTCTAGAACCTCATACATAAATATATCACTTCAAAATATAAATATCCATATATATGATAATACACACATGATCAGGTTGGTGTTGTTATGATCACAACGATGGAGAATGATGATAATAATAATGATGATTAAAGTTATTGAAATTATTATTCATTTGAATTCATTTTTCTTTATCACACACATATGTAGCCAATCCAGTTACAAATCACACATCACACACATTCAACTAACCTGTCTTTTGTTTATTTTGCATACACTGTTTTCCCTTCTCTCGTCCTGTTCTATTATTAGTTTCACATTTAAAGAAAAAAAGTTAAAAAATACTTCATGTACTCAAGCATTCCATTTTATGTTGCTTTATTTATCGGCTTGGGAAGAAATATTCCTTCATCTACAACTACTTGTAACTTTGCAGCTTTAGATTAGAATTGTTTAAAGTCAAATCTGAATGATTTCCCTGCAAAATGCTCCATTACTCGAATTTGTGAATCACAGGCCTTCTTTCCACCAGATTTCCTCCAGTCTTTCCTCTAGACAGCCCTGTACAAGATTTTGGGAAAATGGGTGTAATGTAGCAAAGGAAACAGAATAGTCGCAAGTACTCTATTCTGAGCGAAGAGGTAGTCTCTGGGGCTAAAAAATGCGGTCAGTGCTGTGATGCCAAAAACTGCATTTCCTCTAGTGGCCATTTGAATCAATCCCCACAGACTCCTCTCTTTAAATAACTAGATTTACAGCAGAAATAAACATTTATAATAGACAGATTTTGACCTTTTCAGAGCTTCTGAGGAAATTACTAAAGAAAAAGATGGACTAACGAAATGACACAGACAAGCTGTGTGTGGGTGTGGGAGGAGGGTTTCATGGGAAACCATGAGAGAAAGAGGAAGAATGGAAGCAGTTTGGCTGGGATGGCAGTGATGGCAGGACTATTATTAAAGCTTCCACTAATAAATGCTCTGCAGTCTGCTGGGCAAAGAGATGAAGACATCACACCGAATGTCAGCATTTGTGTGTTGTCGTGCCATTTTATTGGTTTCAGATAATTACAGCCATCATGCTTTTGTGTTTAGATAGCTGCAGTACTTCTTCTGTATACTCCACAGCTGAAAAGTCTGAACCATTAAAGTGCGCTGGGTTTAGTTTCTACATTTTCCGCAACATCACTCAGATTGCTGTTGCCACAATGGCGATAACAGTGACTTTAATCACCTTTATTCACCAATTTATTCACAAACACACATCTATCGAGCTCATTAAAATATACAAACAGTCAAAACAGCAGCCTGGCTGACGACAGAAATATCCCAGAAATATGAAAACAAACCACATCTCAACACAGAATCTAGTAATTAAAATGTCACTCAAAAATGGCAGATACAGCTGATCAGGTTTGAGAGAGAGGTAACACCTTATTATGTGTTTTACTGAGGGCACACAAGATGTTTAATACAAAAATACATCTTTTAGCTTTTTGAATACAATTAAAGAATTAAACCTTGTACCCTCCTTTCAAAGGCTGGTCACTCTCTTCCTTTACATCATTCAGTTTGACACTTTTACACACACAATAAGAAAAACTAATAAAGCTAAAACATTTTATCTAAATGTCTCTATTACATCACTCAACATGGACACCTGGAGTTGTTAAAACGTGTCTCCATCTTAGATTTGCGATATATCTCACTTTTCTATAAATCAAAATTATTATGAAAATTGTATAATGATCAAAAACGTTTCTCATCACTTCATTGGCACATTGGAAAGTTTTCTCTGCTGGCTCTTTATTATTTGCTACCGTCCGTGTTTTTTCAGTGTCTCTTTGTAATGTTACACTGGAGCTGATCTTCACTGAGAAAAGTCATAACACCTGTACAAACACACTAGATAACCTGTGACTTTCCACTCTTAGAAATGTGATCAGACATGAGAGTTCATGAAGCTAAAGCTCTTTGAAAAGGTACCTGAGTAAATGCTAGTAGCTGCTATTATTTGAAATAAATACTTTTTTGTCACATTGGAAATACAATAGCAGTTCGAGAAATTCAGTGCATTCGAGCAGTGGCGTGACACTGGCTCGATGTCTAGCTAACACTTGAAAAATCTGACCATCGTGAAGTCATCATTCACATACTGTTAGCACATTCTGATCAGACTGGCTCTGCCTGCAGGACTTTGGATTTCTCTGGGATCAGAGGTCAAGCATCATAGGGGTCATACATTGGGTTGTTGAAGTTTCCTGTCATGCCGTAATCTTGGCTGTCCAGGAGACGACCGTAGTTTGTCCGTCTGAAACGGAAAATACAAAGACAAAACGGAGTGAGAGAAGCAGTGTTCCAAACACTTCAGTGAGGGGTTGACCTTTCTCACTCTTACAGTGATAAGGGCAGTTATTTTTCTACTTAGTGTGACCTGAATCTATTGACTGAGTTCATTTTGCAACCACAGACACACTTCTAGGTTAGCTTTACTATTTAGATCTGGAAGCCATCTTTTATACCATCAATGAAAAAGAAAATAAAAATTTTTAGAGCACGACTGACAAAGGATCAATCCCCTGGGAACTATCCTTTTGGTGACACATATGGGGGCTGCTTGGAGAAATGAAATCATCTGACTGGTACAATCAAATTTGGCTATGAACTATGAGCATTCAGCTTCTATAACACAAGTTGACTCACCCGATCTTGTAGTAGTAGAGCCCTCCCAACACAACGAGAACCAATACAATGAATAAAGAAACGATGGCTGCAATACTTCCTGGAGAAAAGAACAAAGAAATAGACAATAAGACTAAGTTTGACTTGCCTTCAGGTTTTTATTGTTTCCTGTTTGGTTTCACTTGGGTTTGTCATTTCCTGTTGTGATCATTCTTGTACAGTGATGTTATTGAGTCTCTTTTTTTCTTTTTTAATGGTGTTTAACTGTTTTTTTTAATATTTTGTGTTTCTTATTTTATTATCTTAGTACACTCCTGACTGTTTCTAGTTATGCCTCCATCTGTCTCACTCTGTCCTTAAGCCTCAACCCATTTGTGTTTCCTTGAAATTCTTTTTTGTTCGTCTCTTTCCGTCATTTCCTGTTTTACTTTGAAGGTTAGTTTCTTTAATGTTCTGTGTTAGTTTTTCTTCCTGTCGGCCTTTCCCTGATGTGCATTCACTTTTTGTCACCTGTATCTCTTTCCTCACCTGTTTGTCACTCCCAGTCAATTCTCTGTGTATAAATAGTCCTGTCTTCCCTTTGTTGAAGTGCCTGTGTACTTTAGTGTGTGTTCCTTTGTGAAGTTTGTGGCGGATTTGGGTCCAACACTGTAATCCACAAAGGTCAGTTTCATAAGTCCTCATGTTTTTAAATCAGTACATGTGACATTATGGTTTTTGGTTGTTTTTTATTTTATTTTGTAAAACGTGCTTTTAAATTAAACTGAAGTAGATTAACTGTTTATTTAAAGGCTGCATGAAAATTCTCTGCAGGTTAGTGCAGGATAAACCGGTTAGTTTGCTCTACTGTGATGGGTTTAAAGTAAAGAACAGTGTGTGACCCAATTAAACCCCTGATTATACACATTTGCCTGTTTAGAGGCAAAGTCACCCTCTACAATGTAGGCAACAGAATATATAGATTTTGTTTTTAAATTTTCCTTCTTTTTCTTTAGATTCAAATTGAGTATAGTTAGGATTTTAAAAAGTTAGACTAAATTTTGTTTTCTCATTTACTGATATTATTTATTCATTATGTTAAATCTAGCAGAAGGTTCAGTTAGCATTGCACAAAAAAAAAAAACAAACAAAAAAAACCCCTCCAGAGCTACTTTTTACTTTCTTGCTTGGAGTAAATTCCTTTTTTACTTTTACCTGAGAAAAGAAGTTAGATCAGTACTTCAACTATTACTGGAGTATTTTTAAATGTAGTAGTTGTACTTCTACTTGTACATTTGCTAACTGGTTAGTTCTAGGTGTGTTTCCTCCTGTTTCCCATCCACCCGTTATCCTCAGTCTTCCTCTGCTTATTGTCGCATCGTCCCCATTTGCTGTGTGCATCCTTGTGTATCATGGTTGGCTTGTAAACTCAAAGTTGTAAATGTTCTTTTTTTCCCCCCTTCTACTTTATAGTTCCTAGTAACTAGATTGTGAGTTCTTCTTTAGTTCACTCCTTTTTGATTTGAGTCCTGCATTGGGTCCTACCTCTTCCTGCCACACAGCCTACATGACAGTTTATTAGTTTACTTTTTATATTGGTTTGAAAGAGTTCAATGGAGTGGTTAGCAGTCACACTAGATGTGCACTGTTCTTGAGTCAAACCAAACCCTGCCTGGTCTGACCTTTTCAATGGGCCAGGACAAAGTAGGGTTAACCATGCTCACACATAATATGCAGTAATCACACTAAATTTGAAAAAACTGGCGGTTAGAGTTATGTTTACTGTTCAGATTTTTTCAGCTAAGTATAAATTACTTAATGTGAATACAGCCTAAATATATAGGCTTTTTGTGCATGTGTTTGGTCATAAAATAAACAACTGGACAGCTGTTTTAAAAATAGCAATCAACAAAAGGTTAAAGGAGTCTGTAAATTACAGTTGAAATCAACCCGAAATCAATCGACTGATGTATCAGGAAAGCACTAACCAAAGAGCCATACCGCCAACAAGCTAAAATCAGTCTAAAGTGTATCGAAAATTTTATTGAATGATTCTTCATTTGGGATTCATAAAATGTGTTTTTCCCATCAACTGAACACACCTGATGTTTAAGTATGCCAGTGGCCTCAGCTGACTGTACTGACTATGCAGAGATAAGTCTCGAGAGGTGGTGGCCATTTTGTGGCACAGTGTACTATGAACTTAAGATAATTCTTTTCTTCCCAATGTCTAAAGTAACTGATCTTTGAGCTTTAGTTTTGATAAGTAATCTCCATGTGAGAAACTGGATGAAATCAGCCCACCTCAAGGATCTTATGTTTCTATTTGTTGGCCCGGAGGCACAGCCTAGAAAAATGTTCAGCTATAATCAATAAACACTTCCTTGATAAACAAGGCTGCTCTTAATACTCTTACTAGCCTTAATTTCAACATTAAATGACCTGTTTATTGCTGACTATACACCTCAGTTTATCAGAAAGCTGTCTGATCTTTGAACTGAGTCTCTAAACCTTTGATAGGTGGCATGCTTTGGAAATAGACACTGAAAATGCATTCTGTTATTTTCCAAAGAATGGACTGTAACTGAGCAGTGAAGATTTTTTGACAACACAAATCACCATTTGGAACTGATCATGACCTGCAAATTTGTTTTATTTATTTTTTAAATACAAACTTTTAGTTTAGGCGTTATTGGTGTTGAAAAATGTGTAACTGCTCATAAATGATCACCATACTTTCTGGGCCTTTTTAAGTAACCAGATGATTCATATGAAATGAGCCAAAGGGAATGACATGAAATGACATACATTATCAGGTGCACTAGCCAATGATAACAGGAAATAAGCAGTAGGTTCTCATTTGTGGAAAACTACTTTTCTTTGCTATAAATGACTTAAAGTTATTTTGGCTTTAATGAGATTAGATGGTCCAAATGCCCATGAAGTAATGTAAAGAATGTTTTAGTATACCTTATAATGTAATCTGAAAGTTATGATAATGACTGGATATTGTACACTTAGTGAATAAGCAAAGAAAGGACTAGCATTTATTTAGCTGGTAAGGACTTTACTATGAAGTAAACAAGGAAGCGTGAAAGGAAACTGTTCACATATTAACCACAGACTAAACCACGCTGAAAAGAGGGAGGTCAGTCACAGACAGGCAACAGAAGGGCTGGGGTAGTGCATGAGTATTGCATGCTTTCACTTTGCTCATTTAACAAAAGAACTATGAGTACCTGTGCCATTGTGTTTGTAAATCATATGTTCAAAACATTCGCTGATATGTACATTCGGGTGTTATAGACAGACAGCTGGTTTACATCAGATTCAGGTCAGACACCAGTCATTTTGTTAGAGTACGCACCCTTTACTGGCAGTATATTGTAACTATTCTTTGATTAAAACCAAAAGTTAATGAGTGACTGGCATACTAGAGATATCTGAAGGAGTACAATAAAGATAAGAAAATAATTTATCATTTCAAGGGAACACACAGTGGGTGTCTTGACAGAGCATCTGCAATAAACACAGAGTTGTCTAGAAAGGTACTTGGCTAACAAGTTTTGGTGCAGTGTAATGTGGTACTATCTGAACAGGTGCTACACTGACTGATCAAATATGTGGCAGTGTCTCAGGTAAATGTTGTAGCATCCAAACTACAGTTTAGTGTTATCAAAAAAAGAAGAAGAAGTAATAAATTATATATGATAAACATTGAGTATACTAATACAAAATATACTTCCTTACTTTACTTTACTTGATATGTCTGATTAATTACCAGCTACCTGGAGACACTTGAATAAGAACAAGTTTTGCAAGAAACAAACAAACAAAAACCCTACACTATAAGTAAATTTCAGAGGTGTGTAAGTAATTTTAAGTGCATAATTTCATGTATTTTACTGGAAAGGAGACATAAATTACATTGTAAGTAGTTTTAAATGCTATGTTTATGGTATTTTGGAGGAAATTTTAAGGAGACAAATAATATTTTCCATCTGTCATCCTGTATTTTTGGAGGGGTGCAGGCCTTAATCTTTCCATTTTTTATGCTTATTTTTTTAACATCTTTATTTAATATTCATTATTTTATGTGCACAATATATATTCTGTTATCCATTTTTAAAAAAAAATTACATTATAATTTTTCCTTGCTTTCCCGCTTATTTGAGTATAGCTACCTGTATTTTTAGTTAAATATAATTACATAATTTTAAACACAATACATTGAAATTCCATTTAATTATATGAGCATTGAGCCCTTGCTCTTGGGTCATTTTTATAAAGTGTTACCTTTAATCCTACTGAGTTTGACATTTTAGGAGTTATGAGTTTGGGTATACCATTTTTTAACACTGGGCACTTATTAGGTAGACCTGTTCAACTGCTCACTAACACAAATCATCTAATCTATCATATGATGGGAGCTGAATGCATTTCAATATGTAGACATGGTCAAGACGACATGCCGAAGTTCAAACTGAGCATAAGCAGGGTGAAGAAAGAGGATTTTACTGATTTGAATGTAGCATGGTTGTTGGTGGCAGATGGGCTGATCTGAGAATCTCAGAAACTGCTGATCTGTTGGGATTTTCCCACACAACCATCTGTTCAAAGGTTTACAGAGAATGGTCCAAAAATGGTCCAGTGAGCAGTAACTCTAGGTAAAAATGCCTTGTTAATCCCAGAGGTCAGAAGAAAATAGCAAGACTGCATCAAGTGAAAAGGAAGGCAACAGTAACTCGACTCAACTAACTGGCAGTTTGTCAGCTTTCATGGTGCCAAGAGGATAAACTATACATTTTTTTTAGATCAGTTTTTTATTTATAACTAATTAGTAATAATGTAATGCTTCTATGCTAAACTATGATAAAAATCTACATGATACTGTCTAGTCAAGCTCTGGTTATTGTTACCATTTTTGCATTCAGGCTTTTGATATTAGATGACATTTTTCCGTCTTGATGTCCTCTTGTCAGTGAAGATACACTGGTTTCTGACTTACTGTCATGTAGTAGAATTGTTGTGGGATCGATCGGAAAGGAAAAGAAATGCATGAAACAGAAAGGATAACTGTATCTGAGCAATACTCCATACCTGAGCTTAGACCTTTGGTCTTGTGTTCATCTTGCCCCAGAGTGGTACCCTTCGTGGTGGCTCTTAGAGGGGTGGTGAATCCAGGAGTGTTAGTAGTTTCTGTGATTGTTTGAATACTTGCATTTAAAGTGCTTAAGGTGATTGTTGTGTTGGTGGTTTGGGGGATGTCAGTGGTGCTGTATGTTTGGGTGGCGCTCATGGGAGTAATGGCTGTGCTGGTGCTTTGGGCGATGTCAGTGGTGCTGTTTGTTTGGGTGGCGCTCGTGGGAGTAATGGCTGCGCTGGTGCTTTGG